TGGCAAAAAAAAAAAAAAAAAAAATGACCAAAATGAAAGATCTCTGAGGGTGAGATCCCGGTGGAAAGGAGGGGCCATCAAAGAAGGAGGTACCCTTCTCTGAAGGGAGAAGAGAACCTTCACTTTGATTATGGCCTTGTCTAAATAAGGTTGGAGTTCGTGAACTCAAGAGGCTTCCATAGCCTTGGCAGCTCAAGAGCCTTAGGTGATCATTGATGTCATAAATAAGAGTGTCAATTCTTAACTACAGGAGTCACTGTGCACTTGCTCCCCAAGTAGGACCTCTGTCCTTAATGTGCTGTACAATGAGAATTAATGGTAAAACTTGTCTTCAAACAGTACTTAGCACTTTGTGTGTCTGTGTGGGTGCAAACTGTTGAAATCTTTACTTAGTATAGAGTTGATCTTCTTTATATAAAGATAATTAAAAATGAATCTGCATGAAGAATGGGATGGGAGAGGGAGTAGGAGGTGGGACGGTTTGAGGGTGGGAGGGTGGGTATGGGGGGAAGAACCACTATAATCCAAAAGTTGTACATATAAAATTTATATTTATTAAATAAAAGCTTAACATAAAAAATAGAGATTATAATACTTTTATTATTAAAACTACAGAGCCTCCAACACTTGTTTCTCTAGAGTACATTGGAGGATTTGATATCACATAATTAATTCAAACCTAAAGGGCAGGAAATATGGAGGTTGCTCAGTACCAGTTGCTTGTACCCTAGTTCTTCATAATCAGAGTTGTTTTTACCTCATTTTTCCAAATTTAAAAGTCATTTTGCAGATTTTTTTCAAAGTTATTTAAGTATGCTATGAGAAGTAATATCATTTTCATTTTTTTTTTTTTTGGTATGTGTGATTTTGTGACTCACCATGTCACCCTGTAATTTAGTGAAGGAAAAAAAATTTAAGTACTCTTAAATTATCACTTGTCCATTATTTGCTAATTTTGGGGAAAAGTGTTTCCATGTTCACTATTAAAAATAAGCTGCCTTTGTCCTTAAGTCTTGAAGCACTGTGGTGCTACAGTGTTGTTGTGGTCAGTTTGGAATTGGCTTATGTCCTTGTAGGATGCCCAGTCATCTGTCTGCCTGACCCATGTCTAGAGAATACCAGAGTTCTGTTACTGCCATGTATAGAAATGATTCTGGCAAGTGACAAATACGGCCCATTAGTTGAGGTGATAAACTAGATAGTACCATTTTGATAGCTAAGGCAATACAAAGAGGTTTTTTGTTTGTTTGTTTTTAAATGCTATTGTGAAAACAGAACTCCTGTCTTGGACATTTAAGTCTGTGAATGAGTGTGCATTTTTTTCTTGGACTTATTTATTTATTTGAAAGTCAGACTTACACAGAGAGAGAAGGAGAGCCAGAGAGAGAGAGTTCTTCCATCCACTGGTTCACTCTTCAATTGGCCACAACAGCTGGAGCTGCGTTGATCCGAAGCCAGGAGCCAGGGGCTTCTTCCCACAGGGGTGCATGGGCCCACAGACTTGGGCCATCCTCCACTGCTTTCCCAGGCCACAGCAGAGAGCTGAATGAGAAGTAGAGCAGCCAGGACTCAAATCTGTGCCCCTATGGGATGCCAGCACTGCAGGCGGTGGCTTTACCTGTTATGCCACAGTGCCATACCCAAGTGTTCATTTTTCAGTCTGTAGTTATCGACATAATTGCTCTAGAAGTGCAGTCATTCAGGATTGCTCTGCAACAGATGATCACATTGCTTTTGAATTGTAATTGACATTCCCATAGGCCAGGGACACTAAGAATGTTGTCAACATAAATAGAACCTTTCCTTGCCATGCCAACAGAACCGGAAACCTCGCATAATATGGATCTGGACCAGAAAGGGTATTATTTTCTTCCCTTTGTTAAGAATAAACAAGAAAGCTGCATTTGAAATAGAGAGCAAAGAGGCAAAAATAGATAAGTTAAAATTTTATGACAAATGTTCCAATTTTCTTTGACACCCTGGGGATATATATTCATGCATAATTATAAAACCAGAAAGAACATTCTTTTTAATTAGCTGCCACTGTTACCTGTACATGGGTTAGAGGACTATATTAAGATAATATTACTCTCCAACTTTATCTGTAGATTCTATGTGATTCCTATCAAAAACCCAGCTGACTTTTTTTAGAAATTGACAATGTGATTCTAAATTTCATATGAAAATGTTAAATACCCAGAATAACCAAAATATTGAAAACAAAGAACAAATGAGGAAAACTCATATCCTGATATCAAAACTTAGTACAGAGCTATAATACTTAACACTGTATAGTATGGGACTATGGATAAACATATAGATCAAAGGAATAGAATTCAAGAGTACAGAAAAAAAAACTCTTACATTTTTGACCAATTTATTTTTTTACAGGGTGTCAAGATAGTAGAATGGGAAAAGAATAATCTTTTTAACAAATCATTCTTGCATACCTAGATATCAACATACAAAAAAATGAATTTGGACCCCCTACCTTACATCATAGGTAGAAATGAACTCAAAATCATAATAGACCTAAATGGTTAAGAACTAATAGTAGGCCGACACTGTGGAGTAGTGGGAAAAACCACACCACTTGCAGTGTCAGCATCCCATATGGACACCAGTTCAAGACTCAGCTGCTCCACTTCCAATCCAGCTCTCTGGTGTGGCCTGTGAAAGCAGTGGGAGATGACTCAAGTGCTTGGGACCCTAAACCCACATGGGAGACACAGAAAAAGCTCCTGGCTTCTGACTTCATATCGGCCCAACTCCTGCCATTGCAGCCATCTGGGGAGTGAACCAGTGGATGGAAGTTATCTCTCTGCCTCTGCAACTCTGCCTATCAAATAAATCTATCTTAAATAAATAAATAAATAAATAAAACTCTTAGGAGAAGACATAATAGAAATCTATGTGACTTTGTATTAGGGCAGTGTTTCTTAGATCCAATGCCAAAAATCACAAACAAGAAAATAAAAGTGAATTGGAACTCATCAAACTTAAGAACTTTTCTGCTTTAAAAGACACATCCCAGGGGTCGGCACTGTGGCATACTGGGTTAAGCCAACGTCTGCAGTGCCGGCATCCCATAGGAGCTCTGGTTCAAGACCCAGCTGCTCCACTTCCAATCCAGCTCTCTGCTATGGTCTGGGAAAGCAGTGGAAGATGGCCCAAGTCCTTGGGTCTCTGCATTCACGTGGGAAGGCCTGGAGGAAGCTCCTGGCTCCTTGTTTCAGATCAGTGCAGCTCTGGCCATTGGGGCCATCTGGAGAGTGAACCAGTAGATGGAAGACCTCTCTCTCTGGCTCTCCTTCTCTCTCTGTGTAAGTCTGACTTTCAAATAAATAAATACAATCTAAATAAATAAATAAAAGATACATTCCAAAGGTCTGAGTCCTCTTTCTGGGTGATGACAATGTTCCAACAGTAGATAGGGGTATACAGTGAGTATACTAAGAAATAGTGAATTATACTTTAATTATACTTTTTAAAAGGATGAATTTTATGTTATATGAATTATATCCCAATAAGTCTGTTGTTACAAAAATCAATGTACTTTAAAGCTCCACTCAGGAGGATTGCTGCTGCAGACCCCATGATGTCCCTATATTTTGACTACAATCCCTTGAGAAGTCCTTGAACTTCCCAGCCAAGCACTTGTAGGTCTCTGATTCACCAAAACCAGGGAAAACAATAAATGTTTCTATCTACTAAGATTGAGGTGATATATTATGGAGTATTAGAAAACTAGTTCAATGACTTCTGTGTGTTGTGCCCTTGACATACAGAAAAGTAGACGCACGTTATGTCTGGGTGAGACGTAGATAAGAAAGTTAATGATTGTGGCATAAACCGGGTCATCAAGTATCTTGACATTTGTGATAATGAAAGCTTCCAATATTTTTTAAATTTATCCATTTAAGAAGTTTTGTAATGTGTCCAATACTGGGCTAAAAGCAAAAGACTTTTTTATTTTCTTTTAAACTCAATTCACTACAACAAAATGCTTCAGCTCTGGCTGTGTCTTGTTTTCTTCGGGGTATTATCCTGAGTCTCTCATGTCTAACCTCGTCAGCCCGTGTATTGCCTTACCTTTTTGTTGAAATGAAGCCTTCAGTTCCACGAACGCTCAGTTTATAGGTGTGTTTTCGATCGTGGCTTCTTCTCTATGTGGTTTATTGTTTCAGTGACACTGGAGTCATGAATACCAATTTACTTGTGATTCTCCTTCTGACGAGTGGGGAATGCACAGAACTGCCCTATTAAAGGAGAACTAATTTCTTCCATAAAGGGGGTGGCATCAGGCATGCTTTCTAGAACCTAGGCTCTCCCGTCCTCTACTTCTCTGGGTAATGTCTAACTCAGCTTCACCTCTCTCCTGGAGTACAAGACCTCTTCCACCCTCATGCGTCTCTGTAGGGGAAGAGTGCTTACCATGTTAGAAAGTGTTAGAGTCTCTCTTTGGTAAAGATCATCCTCACAATCAGTCTCATGGCAGAGTAAGAACTCCAGATTTTTCTTTCTGCTGTGTTATTGCTACATTGGGACAGAAGTAACTGCCAGGCAGCACTTTTTTTAATGAATTTTACTTCCTTTAAGTGTTAATATTGCAGGGTTTGCAAGCTAATGTGGTTTACTAAAGCTAATACGTTGACTCCTGTCATTGGAGCCTTCCCTTTGGTACTTGCCTCACTGGTTTAAATCACTCAATCCCCAAAGCCAATGGTTGAGTAGCAGGAAGCCAACTGGAGTATTCCAAAGCTCTTAACATATTACCTTGTGTAAACGGCCCATTTGAGTATTTCAGAAACCAAACAGTAGAGAAAAGACCATTAAAAGCACTCAAAAGATTAACACCTGTTTCGAGCCTTTAAAGAAATTGGAGCATACTGTCTACACACAGAGTAAAATCATTTTCTCTCCCATGTTGAGACATTTCATTCACATTTTCAGTGCTGTCTGTGTAGCTTCTACATCTTTATGGGTCTGTTTCCCTACAGGATTCCACGCAGAGCTTGGAAGACGGAGAAATTATGAATGGTGTACAGACTGAACTGCCAGTATCACCAAAAACTAAAGATGTATCAAGGTATTTTTTTCTTAGTGATAAGAGGAAGATTTTTATTTCAATTTTTTGTTTGTTTCTTTAATAGTTTGTAAGTCTTTTAACTTTATGGGAAAGATCAATGTAAGTAGAATGATAAAGTAGAACATGCCCCAATTCTATCATGAATTATTCTTTCCCCTTGTTTTCACATGAGATGTGAGAATTTACTGAGAAACTTACACAAAAATGATCCCCAGTCTTTCTAGCTCTCTTCAACAACGAGGATTTTAATTCCTTTTTCTTAATTATGTTTCAACAAAAGTTTAAAGTGAACATTTCAGAGTTCATGGTAGTTGAGTGTTTGACCTAGCTCTGTTGGTGTTTTGCTTAATAATCTTGTAATCCACTAGTCAGGATTCTTCAGGTGTTTAGTGAAGGGACTCCTTATTTGAAAGCAGTTTCGCTGGTGTCTCCCAATTCAGAGTAAACATCCCTAATCTGAAAATCCAAAATACTTCAAAATTTGAAACTAGTTTGAGTGCCAACATGATAGATACCACAAGTAGAAAATTCTGCAGTTCACCCTATGTAATTGACTGTTATCAAAGTGTGGATATACTAAAAGTATTGCATAAAATTACCATCAGGTTCTATGTGTGCAAAATATTCATAAAACATAATTGAATTTCACATTTTATGGCCCCATGCCCCCATTATCTCAATCACACACACACACACACACACACACCCCAAAATCCAAAAAATTCCAAAATATGAGATTCCTATGATCTCAAACATTTATAATGATGGGTACTAAACCTGTACTTTTTTTGCTTTGCACTAATTTTCAACACAATGGCTATCTAGTCACTGCCTATGTTCAAGTCATAGCTCCGCTATTTGTTACTAATTCTGTGAACCTAGGCAAGTTGCTCACCTCTTTTCCTTTACTGTCTGCACTGTAAAATGTAAATATTATTAGAACCTTCATCATAGGTTACTGTGAGGACCAAATGAGGTAGTATTCTAAAACCCTTTGCACGGTGATTGCATAAGAGTAAATCCCATGAGCATTTGCTATTGCTACTGCTATTGCCATCATTATCTCTATTATTATTATTATTATCACAAGTATTTTTCTTAAGTTACTTCAAATTTAGCATATGGAAAATACCGTCATATTAATAGATGGTGCAGTTTGGCATTAGAAGGTGATGCTACCAAGACTGGTAGTCATTCATTCAGTCAATTTATTACTTTCATTAAGTCTGGTTCCTAATAGATGCCAAATTTGTGCATGAAATTAGCTCTTTTATTTTGAAAAAAGTAGATGATCAGCCATTATTACTCTATTGTGTGGACTCTCCTCAAACTTAAAATTTATAGCCATATGCCCACACTTCATCTTTATTTAGATTGTTTCTTTGATTAATGAGCTGTACAGTATTAAAATTTGTTAACTAAAATCTCCAGGATGCTGTCTTTTGAGAAGCTTGGTAAGATTTGCTTTTGGAGTAGGAATAATGAATTGTAGTATTCTTACTCTATTTGGCTTTAATTTCATGTGTTTAAGGTTAGGTTTTTGAAAAGGTGGCTAACATCTAGCCAAGTGTTCTGTGGACACTCATCATAGACTAAATAATTGTTTGATTTATGGCTGCATGAACAATTTAGCTAATCTGTTTCCAGGTGTAGGGAATGGAGAAAAATAGAGTATAGGTATTTTTAGAAATTCTTTAATTATATGTCTATGTTTATTTTGATAATGATTATCAGTACAGGAATTTTGCATGAATTTTATCTCGTTTAGTAAGTCGAAGTACTGAAATTCAGAGCAGTTAATTAACAGCAAGAGCCTCAATCTACATCTACTATTGTTGTCTATCAGCCCATTGCTTCTAAAATTACCTGTTGTGTGTACCTTCCCTAAGTCCCTACTGTTTTACTTCATGCTATGTAACTAGGGCTAGATTTCATGTAGTGAGCCCAGCTAGAGGAGAAGCATGGCAGAAGTCAGTTTGAGGTCCAGTTCACAAAGTCGCATGTGTAAAAATCTGCAGCCCTTGCAGACTGTGCGCTGGGAGATGATGAGAATAGCTTAACAGCATAGAAAGCACGGTTGACCAAGGAAGGCTTGTAGGTTATCATTCTAAAAGGGGATGTTGTCTCTAGTGCATGGGATGATGACAAAACAAAGAGAAATTAGGAAGCCACTTACAAGAGATCTACATGATTTATATTCTCTGGGGCATGAAGGATCAGGCATTTCATATGACTATGAGCATATTTCTGTGTAAGTGGCATTGAAGCTAAGTAAATTATTTGCAGAGTCTAGTTCAAAATAGCTTGAAACTGCTTCATGCTCAAGCCTTTGTTACCTCTCAGCTAGACTGTTGCAGTAACTTGCTTTGTTATCTTGAATATCAAGTTCTCCTTATTCTGACACCACATATTGCTACTGGATAAAAATTTCTAAACCTTAGCATTTATCAAATGATCCCAAGTCCAAACCTTTTGATTTAGATAAGTGCTAGGTTTGAATACTGGTTCGACTGCATACTGCCTGTACAGTATTGGACTAGTTATTAGCCTCTTTAGAATATTTTTGTCTCATATAAAGTAAATATCATGATCACAGAGATTATTGTGAAGATTAAATGAGATATATTACAGGCCATTGACTTAGTACAATGCAAAATGAAAGGCTGGATAAGCATGAATTGTTATTGCAATTATTCTAACTATTTGTCATTCTCCCAAATAAGACTATAAATCCTCCAAAGGGTTCCTGACATCTAATACAGGTCTTGGATTGTAATGGGGGCATATTTGTTGAGTGAATAACTAAATGAATATAGCACATTGGCCCATAAATCATAAGCACAATGATTAACTGCTCACCCATTAGTCACACAAACATCTTTATTTTAAGAAAAACAGTATAAAGGAAGTTTTCCTGTTAGTCTCATATATTTCTTGTGAGCATTACTCAATTTGCTTTGATCTTAAAAATACAACAAAGCAAGAGCTTTCTCTTGTTTCTGTTTTTTTTTTTTTTTTTTTTGACAGGCAGAGTGGACAGTGAGAGAGAGAGACAGAGAGAGAAAGGTCTTCCTTTGCCGTTGGTTCACCCTCCAATGGCCGCCGCTGCAGCCGGCGCACCGCGCTGATCCTGGCAGGAGCCAGGAGCCAGGTGCTTTTCCTGGTCTCCCATGGGGTGCAGGGCCCAAGCACCTGGGCCATCCTCCACTGCATTCCCTGGCCATAGCAGAGAGCTGGCCTGGAAGAGGGGCAACCGGGACAGAATCCGGCGCCCCAACCGGGACTAGAACCCGGTGTGCCGGCGCCGCAAGGTGGAGGGTTAGCCTATTGAGCCACGGCGCCGGCTCTCTTGTTTCTGTTTTATTTATATTTTGAGCTTTGTGCTTTTCTTTAAATAGCAAGCAATGTTGCATTTTTGTGGCATAGCATGTTAAGCCACTGCTTGCAATGCTGGCATCCCATATTGGAGTACCAGTTTGAGTCCTGGATCCTCTGCTTCCGATCCAGCTTCCTACTAAAGTGACTGGGTAGGCAATGGAAGATGGTTCAAGGGCTTGGGACCCTGCAATCCATGCAGGAGAGCAGGATGGAGTTTCTGGCCTGACCCTGACCTGGCTGTTGTGGTTGTTTTGGGTGTAAACTAGCAGATGGAAGGTCTCTCTCTTCCTGTTGCTCTGCCTTTCAAACAAATAAACAAGCAAATAAAATCAGTATGTGCAAAAGGCCTTCACCTCCTCCCTAATTCCTATCACATTCCTGGCTCAATTCTTATCCCTCAACTCCTGTTTCCTCAAATTAGCTCCTCCGAACAATCTTTTTTCCAGGCTTGAAACTACTATCATATTTTTTCATATCTTCTGTTTTCCTATGATACCATTCACTGGGAAAATTATTTGCAAGCCTGTTTCATAGTATTTTGACCTGCCCTCATGTTTTCTCACTTCATTTCTACAATCACTGGTTATGCCTCCATTACCTTTCAGCTAGATTGTTGCAATAATTTACTAACACTTGTCTAAGTACCAGTCTTTCCCTTGGCTTTTCTGTTTCTCATTGATCCCACATATCACTGCCAGATAAATATTCCTAAGCCACAACATTTATCACACTGCTCTTTAGTTCAGAAACCTTAGTGACCCCATTTTCTACGGAATTGAGAATTTTCTGACTCATAATTTGACATACCGTTCTAAGGTTTGATCTATCCCTTACATACCCAACCTCTTTCATGTCTCTCCTTCCCCTACCCCACCATGTCCCTTCTGCCTCTTCCTTTTCCTTGTCTCTCTGCTTCCTTCCCTTCTCTGATCATACAGCCAAGCTGTGTGTCCATGAGCCATCAGTCCACCATGGCTCAATAGCTCAGTGCAAATGGCCACCTCTCATGAGCGTGTGCTCTCCATCCCCTCAACTGCCTTTTCTGATAGAAAACACATTTGCCCTGCGGAGTCTCACCTCAAGTGCTACCTCCTGCAGGAAGTTTCTTTTCTTTTCTCCTCTCTACTTTTCTTTAAATAAAAAGATTTACTTTATTGTCTTATAGGAAAATCAGAGTAGGAGGGAGAGAAAGAAAGAAAAAATATATAGGCAGATCTTCCATCGGTGGGTGGCAGGGGCCCAAGAACTTGGGCCATGATCTGCTGCTTACCGGGAGCATTAGAAGGGAGATGAATTAGAAGTGGAATAGCTACAACTTGGACTGGCACAGATGGGATTCCAGTGCTGTGCCCTGAACCCTCACTGCACCACAATGCTGGCCCCAAGAAGAGTCTCTTGATCCCAAGTTCCCTTCCTGATCATGTACCTTGTTCTTCTGAACCACTTTAGAAAGAGCCTTTTGTTTGAAACTAGCTTGTCAGAGAGGTTCAGAACCATGTTGTCTCCCTCAGTCTTTCCTGGAGTGCAATAAATCACAATTTGAGTCCTGATTCTAACCTCTATGAATGGTAAGATGTTGGACAAATTCTTAACCTCCTGTATGCCTCCGTTTACTTCTAAGG